GGCCTGCAAGAACACACAACTTCCTGTAGCCTCCAATAGCATTCTCAATGGGATACCCACCAGGGTGAACAGGGACCATCTGCATAGCACTGACCAATGAACCGGCTCTGATACCCAAGGCTAAAACCAAGTCCGGAAAATGTGGCCAAGGCGGGGCCTGACAGTCCTGCTAGAGAGGACTCACTGGAACCTCTGACCTTTGGGTGCAGCAGTCTGCATAGATTGTGTCTTGAGGGCATAAAGCCAACTTCCCAGAGGAAGGACAGTTTCCAACTCCAGGGAGAGCCCCAGTATGACAGGCTGTCCCAACCAAGTACACACCTGCGCTCCAGCACAGTCATAAAGTCACACCAATACTGGGTACTGTTCATAGAGCCCTCACTGGGAACTGGGGCCATGCTAGGCCTATCATATAAACTTCTTTCTATTTATTTGAATACGTTTTTTTGAAAGTCAGATTTATAGAAAGATGGAGAGACAGAGAAAGAAAGATCTTCCTTCCACTGGCTCACTGCCCAAATGGCCACAAGGGCTGGAGCTGAACTGATCTGAAGCCAGAAGCCAGGAGCCAGGAGCTTCTTCCAGGTCTTCATGTGGGTGCAGAGTCCCAAGGCTTTGAGCCATCCTCGACTGCTTTTCCAGGCTATAAGCAGGAAGCTGGATGGGAAGTAGGGCAGTCGGGACACAAACTGATGCCCAGTGGGATGCTGGTGCTGCAGGTAGAGGATTAGTCTATTAGGCCATGCTGCCAGCCTGTTGTACAAACTCCTGTCATTCCACTTAGCAGGTTCACACAACCTGATGATGGATCCCCTACATCTTGCCTAGGCTGTGGAACGTGCCATGTTCTCTGTTCAAGTTCCAGGTCACTATAACCAAAAGGTTAACCCTTAGCTAGGCTGACGCAGACCTGCCCAGGAATCACCTGTTGCATAGCAACAGGAGCCTCCCTGGGATGATCCCATTCATCTGCTGGCTGCCCCAGGGTGAGGGGAGCTGTGCACTGGGCCGGGATGAACAGAAGCAAGAGAAAGGTTAGTACAGAAAGAAAGGCTGTGGTTTTCTGACTCAAGGTGATCATCAGCACTTGGGCCCAGGCTCTGGCAGTCAGACACGAACCCTGCAGGTGACAACACCAGAGAGGAGGCAGGTGGTGTTACATTGCTGGCTCTCATCCTTCTAGAAAGCTGAGGAAAGTAAAGTTTCCTTGAGCCTCATGGGGTGCCTGCCAACTCACACACATTGCCACACTGCAGGGATAAAGAAACTTGGCTGGGAAACAGCAGAACTGAGATCCAAATCTAGGCCTGCCTGACCAAAAACCCAGGCCAGCCTCAAGTGCTTAAAGTGGGCCAGGGAGACACAGCAGGACACAGCAACTTCCTTCCTGGGAAGGCATGTAAGAGGACTGAACCCAAACTTACACCCCAAAGTTCATGGCAACATGGCTCCTCAGAACTAAGGAACACACACAGCTCTGAGGTCCACAGCTCCTGAATGGATAAATGCAGTACAGTACACCCACACCACAGACCACCACTCTGCCATAAAAAGCAATGGCATGATGATGAACACCAACACTTGGATGAACCTGGAAATGCCACCATGCTAAGTGAAAGAGTTCAGATGCAAGTCACATATTGTATAATGTCATGTGTCACTGTGACTTGGCTAAGGGGCTGCCCAAATGGCTGTGGGTATCTGGGAGGCTTTTTCTGGAACAGGTTAGCATTTGAATCACTCTCAAAGAGGCATCCTTGAACCTGTCTGGCTGCACACAGAACAGAAAGGTGGAGGGAGAAGGAAACGTGTGTTGTTAGCTGGGTCTCCATGCTCTGCTTTCAGACACCAACACCCCCTGGGGCTGAGCCCTTGGGGTCTGGACTGGAGCTGGACCTGCGTCTCTAGCAGTGGCCAGCAGATCTGGGAACTTTACAGCCTCTGTAGTCAGAGGAACCACTCCCATCCAAGATACTGCTTTCCATATGTTTGCATACAGCCTGCTGAGAAACCCAGATTCCCAGCAGACGCCATCAATATGAAATGTCCAGAACAGACACACTCGTAAGGCTGCCCAGATCTTTGGGCAGGGGAAAGTGGGAAGTGACTGCTGAGTGGTTATAGGGCTTCGATTTCAGCTAGTGAAAAAATTCTGAAACTAGAGTGCTACGGTTGCACAATCTCATGAATACACCGAAAACTACACTGAACTGTTTTCTTGAAAAACATGAATTTTCAATATCTGAACTACCATCAATGAAAAACACAATGGAAACATAATTTAACATTAAAATCCCAGGCAGATGCCACATTGGAGGGGTGGTGTTGTGCGATAACGGGTTGAGCAGATGCCTGTGACAGTGGCATGCCATATGGGCGCCAGCTTACGCTCCACTTCTTATCCAGCTCTCTGCTAATTCACCCTGGAAAGCACTGAAAGACGACCCAGCTGCTTGGGCCCCTACCACGCATATGGGAGACCTGGAAGAAACTCCTAACTCCTGGTTTTGGCCCGATCCAGTCTATTACAGCCATTTAAAGAGTGAACCAATGGATAGAGGATTTCCCTCCCTCCTTGTCCCTCTGACTTTCAAATAAATAATCTGAGAGAGATAAGGGAGTGCTTGTGTTCCTGTCCTGACTTCACTTCCAGCTTCCTGCTATGCACACCCTGAGTGGTAGCAAGTGATGGCTCCAGTGGCTGGGTCCTTACTGTTCATTTGGCAGACATGGACTGTTTCTAGGTCCTGATTTCAGCCTGGCCCAGCCCCAGCAGTTGTAAGCATTTGGTAGTGAAACAGAGAATGAAAGATCTTTTTTGTCTGTCTGTTTTTCAAATAAAATGAAAATAAACAATAACTTAAAAAAATTAAAGAGTGACAAATGGAATTATATCCAACAAAAACTTCTGTGTTTTTGCATCTCATCAACAGAGCAAAAAGGCAACCTAAGGAACGGGAGGAGATATTCACACCTCACATATATGGCAGGAGATGAATAATCAGAAAATATAGAGAACTCAACAACAAAAAGTCAAATAATCTGATTAAAAAATAGGCAAAGAGGGTTAGCATTTGACCAGGTAATTAAAGGGTCCACATCTCATACTGGAGTTCCTGAAGTTACTTGCAGCTTGACTTCCAATTCCAGCTTTTTGCTAATGTGCACCCCTGAAAGCAGCAAAACGGCTCAAGAACTTGGGTCCCTGCCACCCACCGGGGGGACCCTGACTTTCTATTCCCAGCTGGGGGCCATGATGGGCATCTGCAAAGGGAACCAGTAGACGAGAACTCTTTCTGTCTGCATCTCCATCATCACCTCTCAAATGAATGAAAAAAACCAAGTGGGCAATGGACTTGATAGACACTTTTCTAAAGACGAAGTCCACACGGGCACCAGGTACATGAAAAGACACTCAGCATCACTGTCACCAAGGAAACGCCAAGGCAGACCACCTTGAGATAACACCCCACTCCTGTCACTGGCTTCTGTAACAAAACCAAATGGGAAATAACAAGTGCAGGCAACTATGTGGAGAAATTGGAACCCTTATACAGTTTTGGTGAGAGATAACATGTGGCCACTGCTATGAAAAACACTAGAAACAGAAATACCACATGATCTAGCAACACAAAAGAATCAAAAGTAAGGTAGCAAAGAAATATGTGCATATTTGCGTTCATTGCATCACTATTCTTCATAGCCAAGAAACAGAAATAACCTAAGTGTCCATTGATAGATAAATGGATAAACAAAACGTGGTCCCTCCATACACTGGGATATGACTCAGAATCAACAAGGACGAACACTCTGGCACCGGCTACAATGTGGACGAACTTGACGCCATGATGCTATGCAATACAAGCACAAGGCCGAGGACAAATGCCACATGACCACACTTCTAGGAGGTGCCCAGTGGAGCCCAAGTCAGAGACAGAAAGTAAAATGGCAGTTACCAGGGGTCCCAGGGGTAACAGAGAGAGGGTTTCAGTTTTTCAAGATGAAAAAGCCCTGTTTCACCACAATGTGCATGTACTCAACACCACTGACTTGGTTTGCAACTAGGGGTGAATTTGCTCCCCCCCAGAGGGTATTTATTCAGCAATGTCTGTCAGTCTTGTAAGTGGATGTAGTTGAGGCCAAAGACCCTGCCAAACCATCTGACAAGACCCGAGGCACGTCTTGCAACCAAGAAACATTGAGCCTGGGCCCTGGTAAAACTGGTCTTGGAGTGTGCAGAACCATGAGGTAAACCTGTCCTGTTTGGAGCCAGTATGTTTAGGGTGGTTGGTCTTCATGGTCATGGGGAACCAACAGCGTCTATCTGCTCCATTCTGGGGATTACTGAATTTGGATTAGAGAACTTGATATTAAAATAACATCAGAGATGTTTAGAAAGAACGGCATTGAGGTGCCAGGGCCCCCACACCTGCTGGCTCCCAAGAACTGGAAGGGGAGGTGGGGTAGAACAGTGGGTGAGGATAGATGTGCAGTGCGTATTTCCAGACTAGCACTGGCTGGTTCCATTGGACAGGCACATGGCTTCACCTAGGATGGGCCTGCCTGGCTAGCACCGACCAACAACTGGAGAGAAACCCCAAGGCTTTTTCTGTCTCTCCAGCCTGTTGCGGACCTCCCACTCCTGTAGCCCCAGTGGCTTTCCTGACCCTCTAGTGTAGCCTCAGGGCCACATAATTGGTGTTCCTCCACAGACTGCCATAGCTGTCAGCATCTTCTTATTCCAGCATCACCTCCTCTGAGGGGCCCTCCCTGGCTGCACTAAGGCAAATGACCTTCCCCAGTTACTCTTTCATTACACTGCTGATTTTCCTTTGAATACTTCTCATGCTATTTGGTTAAAGCTTTTTGTTTTCTTGTCGGATACTAGCTCCAGTCCTTTTCCCTTCCCCCACCAGGACTGCAGGTCCCAGGAGCACAGGGATCCTGCAGTAGGAAAACGAATGCATCCGCAGCACTAGGCAACGCTTGCCCAAACATACCTGATCTTGGCTTTCCTTAAGGCTAGCTCCTCTTCATTGCCGAAGTCCAGGGACACATCCTCAGTGTCGTCCACCAGGGCCTGGGGAGACGCCATGGGGCAGGTGGTAGGCTCCTCCCCTTCTAACTCCCACGCACCCCTAGGGCTGGTCTCCACGCATCTCCACAGGCTCCCAAGTGCCTCCCAACCTCCACGTCAGGTGGCTGAAATGGCAAGCCTTCTCCACCAGCCAAGACCCCAGGGATGCAGCCCAGCCCCCTCCCAGCGCTCCCGCAGGCTCCTCCCGAGCTTGTCATCACGTTCCCAGCCCCTGGGGTTCCCCGCAGCCCTACCTGCTTCATCCTCCCAGAGACTGCTGGGTCGTTCACACCCCAGATTCTGCACCCGCTAGCCACCTCAAGGGGTGCACGGGCTGACAGGCTGGGATTGGAGCCTGCGCCTGGGCTTGGGGCGGGGCGCGCTGCTCAGAGCGCAGTCGCGGGATGGGGAGGGGGCTCGACTACCAGCACTGGGCGGGGCCCAGGAGGGTCCTAGAGGGAAAGCGCCCTGGAAGAAAAAAGCAGGTGCCTCAAGGGTGGAGTCTGCAGAGAGGGCAGCTGGGGTGGGAGGAGGGGTGGAGGGGAGAGGGGACGGAGCTGAGGGGACTGAGTGGGTGGCCGAGGACAGTGGAGGCATAGCCGGAGTGGTCAGTGACTGGTGTTGGTGTTCCGTTTGCTTAAGGTCTGTGTGCAAGAATCCCCAGGGCCATTAGGAAAAGCAGATTTCCGAGCCTAACCCAGGGGAATCCTCCGAATCCTGTCACCCGGAACCTCGCTGAGATCCATCCCTGACACAGACTTTGTTTAGAAGAACCCAAAACTGGTTAAAGGAACCCCCCAGCCCTGGCAAATCTGAATCCAATCCCTGGTACCCAGTAAACTCACTACTGACACGGGAGACAAAGAAAATGAGGGTTTTTAGACTTTTATAAAGGCATAGGGCTTAATTGGGGAAAATGCAGGTGTGCAGGGCAGATTAACTAAGTTCAGGGTCATGGTTAACCAAGTTTACACAGTGTCAGGCTGACCCACAATGGTTCCAAGAACCTGCTGATAATGAGGCTTACTTTGAGGAGTATAGGATTAAGTGACATTTCAAGGGATCATAAAACATCCAGCTCTCATGTCCAGTCTTCCACAACTCCAGCCTTGCACATGTACAGGGGTCTTCTGCTTTATGTGTCTCTATAATGTCTGCCAGGCAACTACATCAGGGGACCACTAAAGTCTCAGGGCTCTCTCTTGGTAAGAGGGCTGGCACATACACTCTCTCTCCAAATAATCCATCTTCCCATAATTGCACCTTACTTAACCTCCCTGCTTTGCATTTTTTTTTTTTTTACAAATTTTATTTGTTTTTTTATTGCAAAGACAGATTTACAGAGAGAAGGAAAGACAAAGATCTTCTGCCCACTGGTTCACTCCTCAAATAACTGTAACAGCCAGAGCTAAGATAATCCAAAGTCAGGAGCCAAGAGCTTCTTCCAGGTCTCCCACATGGGTGCAATGTCCCAAGGCTCTGGGCATTCTCCACTTCTTTCCCAGGCTATAAGTAGGGAGCTGAGTGGGAAGTGAAGCAGCTGGGACATGAACTGACATCTATATGGGATGCCAGAGTTTGTAAGGGGAGGATCAGCCAATTGAAACATTGAGTTGAAGCCCCTACTTTGCCTTTTTATCTCATACAGGGCGATATAGCAGGGAAACATTCCCCAACACACTCGGGGCAAAGGACTGGGCATCAGGATGCTAGACACTGCGGTCTTGCCCTTTGCTCTTGGAAATGTGCCATTTGTGTCCCTCCCTGGTGACTATGTAAGGACAGCTAGGCCGCAAGCTACAGACACAGGTCATCCCATGCTGGATCCACTGGGTGTGGCTGGAGTCTTTGTTCTCTGGAAAGACCTAGGGCTTCTGCCCCACCTCTATTCCCTAAGCTGACTACACAAAGAACTTTCCAAGTGAGTAGGGAGGCAGTGCTTTCTCCTGGGGATAGAATGCCTACTTCTGTAAGAGTCACGCCCCTTTTTCCAAGTATTTCCAAACCTGTGCAATTCAGGTTACAGCTGGTGTGATCCTTGGGAACTTGCTCTCTCCATGAGGAAGAGATAGAGGAACGAAACCAGAAGGCGACGAGGCAGAACATTGAAAAGAGGGAAGGGTACACTCCCAGGAAAGCAGCCTGGAGGGGCTTCTTCACAAGGAAAAGCCCTTGAAAGGAAGTGAGCTGGGGGTTTTATAGGCTTTGGAAAGTTCATCCAAGGGTTTTTTTTTTTTAAAGATTTATTTTTATTATTTTTTCATTGGAAAGGCGGATATACAGAGAGGAGAGACAGAAAGGAAGATCTTCCGTCCGATGATTCACTCCCCAAGTGAGTGCAACGGGCCGATACTATGCCGGTCCGAAGCCAGGAGCCTCTTCTGGGTCTCCCACGCAGGTGCAGGGTCCCAAAGCTTTGGGCCGTCCTCGACTGCTTTCCCGGGCCACAGACAGGGAACTGGAAGGGAAGCGGGGCTGCCAGGATTAGAACCGGCGCCCATATGGGATCCCGGGCGTGCAAGGTGAGGACCTTTAACCACTTGCGCCACCGCGCCGGGCCCCATCCAAGGGTTTTTAAGTGTTTCTTGTATGGCAAGCTCATCTTGCCTTTTAGCCTCCCATTCTTCCCATTTGGTTGTGACTTGCACAGGACAGAGAACAAGTCCTATCTTGGGGCCTGTCAGTGGGGAGGACTGTCTGCCTTCACCACGCTCCTAAGCCTGACTGAGCAAGGGTAACCTATCAGTGAAATCTTCTCTTTCTTTATCACATTTGCTTTCTTGCTTGGGCTGGTTTCCCAGCTACTATGAAAACATTCCCCAGGGCCAGTGCAATGGCTCAACAGGCTAATCCTTAGTCAGCAGCAATGGCATCCTATATGGGCACCAGTTCTAGTCCTCATTGCTCCATTTCCCATCCAGCTCCCTGCTTATGGCCTGGAAAAACAGCAGAGCAGCCCAGGTCTTTGGGTCCCTGAATCCTATATGAGAGGTCCAGAAGAAGCTCCAGTTTCCTGGCTTCAGATTGGCTCCGCTCTGGCTGTTGCAACCATTTGGGAAGTAAACCAGCAGATGGAAGATCTGTGTGTGTGTGTGTGTGTGTGTGTGTGTGTGTGTGTGTGTGAGTGTGTCTCCTTCTCTCTGTAAATCTGCCTTTCAAATAACTCTTTGTTCAACCTCTTCTATTATTTCCATTCTAATTGACTCCTTTTGGCATTTAAAGCCCCATTAGAAACCATTTGAATTAGGTTTCTTGGATTTTACAGCTTCCAGTTGGCCAGCTTTGACTGGTACTTCTTACCCTTCAGAGTGCGATAGGTAAGTCGTGGATTCTGACTGGTGTGTATGGTTGAGGGATGGGGTGTAGATCTTGGCACGGCCTGAGGGTTTTTGGTCCTCTGAGCTGCTGTTGTTGTGTCCAGCAGTTTCCTTGGCTCTACCGTACCCCAGGGCCTGACCTTCTGTCCGTGCCCATGCCACGCAGGCCGAGAACATTGGATTCAGAGAATGCCTCTTCCTGGAGCCCCAGAGTTCTGGAAGCAGGGGAGAGGCCGGAGTGGGAGTGGGGGGCAGGTGGAGGTAGGCAGCAGTTTTAGAACATTTAGGGGTTTTTCCTCTTACCCCGAAAATCACCAGCAGCTGGTGTCTGTTGAATTGAGGCCGGGAGGTGGGAAAACCCCCTTGGAAGCCCCTTTTAGGGCCAACTGACATTCTCAGCTGTCACTCTGGGGATGCCTGTCTTCCACAGGCCACTCCTCTCTCCCCTCCCTGCCTTGTTCCATGTGGCTCAGAGGACTCAGATACCCATCCTGGGTCAGGCCTGGGACTGTTGCTTCTCCCCCTGAGAAAGCATCCTCATCTCTCCCCCTCTCTCTCTCTCTCACACACACACACAATCTGTATAGCTCTCTATGGGGGTCAATGTCCTAAATGTGGCAGTGGACAGGGCCTATTTGCGAATAACTAGTAGTTGATAATAAACCAGCTGCTGCTAGGAACACAGCGGTGTTGCAATGGGTAAAGCCAGTTGTAATGCCGGCATCCCATATGAGCACCAGTGGTTCTACTTTTGATCCAGCTTCCTACTAATATAGCTGGTAAAGCAGCAGAAGGTAGCTTAAATGCTTAGGCCCTGCCACCCACCTGGGAGATCCGGATGGAGTTCCAGGCTCCTGGCTTTTGCCTAGTCCAGCCCTGCAGGTTGTAGTCACAGGATGGAAAATTTCTTTCCCTCCCTTTCTCTCCTTCCCTCACCTCCTGCCACCGTGTGTTTGTGTGTGTGTGTGTGTGTGTGGAACTCTGCCTTTCAAAATTAGCCTTAAAAAAGTAGATGCACTAAGGTCACTTTTTAAAAGAGAAAGGTTAGGGCCTGGTGCAATAGCCTCGTGGTTAAATCCTTGCCTTGAACAGACTGGGACCAATTTGTGTCCCAGCTGCTCCACTTCACATCCAGCTCCCTGCTTGTGGCCTGGGAGGGCAGTGAAGGACAGTCCAAAGCCTTGGGATCCTGTACTTGTGTGGGGAATCCAGAAGAAGCTCCTGACTTCAGATTGGCTTGGCTCCAGCCATTGCAGCCACTTGGGGAATGAATCAGTGGATGGGAGATCTTTCTCTCTGTATCTCTTCTCTCTCTGTAAATCTGCCTTTCCAATACAAATTTTAAAATCTTAGAAGAGAAAAGGTTGAAGGCCCACGCTAAGCCTTTGGAATGCCCGAGCTCAGCTTAGGAATCTGCTTTTCAGAAGAGCGCCAGGGTGGGGTGGGTGGGTTCCTGGGAAGACAGAGTTTGGGGACTCCCTGACCTCTTCCACATTCTCTGATGGCCCAGGGGGGCTTGAGGAAGGGGACGCAGAGCTGCAAGTGTGCGCCCCACCCTGGAGCCAGAGAGACCCCAATCTGGGCTTGGGCAACTTGGGCATTGGGTGACCCCTGGAAGGGCACACAGGGAGTGAGGCGGCCATGGTGGGAAGGATACCGTGGCCGTGGGCAAAGGGCTTACCTCAGCAAAGTTAGAGCACA